ATATATATATATATATATATATATATATATATATATATATATATATATATATATATATTGGTGTGTGTGTGTGTACATATAAGCATTACACTGGCAAAATCGATATGATATTGATATACAACAGACATAAACGAGTGTACAACATATATATATATATATATATATATATATATATATATATATAATATATATATATATATATATATATATATACATGTATAAATATATATATATAAAAGGGTAAGCATTATTATACCTAATGATATATATATATATATATATTATATATATATATATATCGCATTTAACAAGTTGATTTTCTGATTGATGAGACAAACTAGCTAATTAATGGCTGACTGACTGTATGATTGAAGAAATAAGTAGATGAGGAATAGATTGAAGAAAATGAATGAATGAAGAAAACTATTGTTATCATAATCTTATTTTGTGATGCAATCACGCATGCATGCATGTATGTATTCATACATCTATGTATCTTTTCAAAAGAAAATAAACGAAAAACGTTATAAATATAGAATAAATATGTACGAACAAAACAAACCTACACACAATTAATTAAGCATGCAAATGCAAACATAAAAGCCAACAAACAAACAAACAAACATATAAACTTATTAAAACAGAGATGATATACGTATACAAATATATTTGGGAAAGAATTTTAATATAAATATATAGAAAAATAATTTCACTGAAAATATGGTTAATTCCAACGATATATACTAATAGATAAATATGCCTAATATACATATATAGAATACACAAGAATACCTATGTCACGCACACACATATATAAACATCTAAATGTATAAATACACACATACACAAACAAACACATACATACACTCACATACATTTATACACAATTTAGTATGTTTACAATCATACAAATGGAATAAAATGAATAAATAAATAAAATGAAACAAATAAATCACACATTATTATTATTATTATATACAATATTGTCAAATAAATAAACAAAAAAAGGATAGAGACAAGAAGTCCTCAGGTGTATATATTTTATATATATATATATATATATATATATATATATATAATAAATAAAAAGTATAATATTCATAATTTATCTTGCTCCGTGTATGGTCTTTTGTTGACAATCATGGACTGTTGCATGGAATTGGTCAGCTGCGATACGTAGCACTGATTAGGGAAAGATTAGAGAGATGTCAATGGATTGATTGGTTGGTTGATTGATTGGTTACTTAGTTGATTGGTTGTTGATTGGTCGACTAGCTAATTAAATTAATTAAATTAACTTGTTATTAATTGAATGATCGATCTACTGACTGATTGATTCAACAGAAGAACGATCGATAAATTGATCAGATTGATGGAGTGATAAGCAAGTAATGAATGAATAAAGAACCAGACAGAAGATAGCACACAGACAAGCTTCTACAACAAAATCCAAAACACTCGAAACGTTTTTACGTGTAACTTGACAAATATAACCCCCACCAAACCAAACAACCCAAAAGTGTTGACCCACATAAAAAGCACCCCCCTACTGACCCCCCACATAAATAGCACCCCCCTTACTGACCCCCATATCATTGGCACTCCCTCCCTCGTCATCAATACTGTTGTACGATGACGAGGAACTGTTGCCACAGGCGCTCAAGCTGATGCTGTTGATGGTTATATCTTTGCTGGCGACGGTGGTTATATCTTTGCTGTTGCTGCTGTTGCGACTCGCGGCAGCCGTCAAAACCGTTTGGAAGTATTCGCAGAGGCGTTTGAAGCGACGCGTTGGTCCTGTTGGCGACATTATCGTCGGTGTAGTTGTGGATTGTAATGAGTAGAATAATAATATAAATAATAATAATAATAATCATAATAATAACGACAATAATAATAATAATGAAGATGATGAATATAATGATGATTAATAGGATATTGGTAAAGAGACTACACAACAACGTAGAGAAAAATCCCAGACAGACATATAGACAGGCAGACAGACAAATTAACCAAACCAACCAGACAGCAGGGTGAAAGCCAGACAATGTATCAACTGCTGCTGATGTCGTTGCTTCGACTTGATAGGATCATCATCAGGATAGCAGCCTCCCCCACCCAACTCATCACCATCATCGTCACCATCATCATAATTATCATTAACGACGACCAAGCCACTGCCAAAATCACCACCACCACTCTTATTATTATTACCATTATTATTGCGATTATTATTATTGTTGTTGTTGCTGTTGTGGTTGTTGGTGATGGTGGGGTTGTTAGTGTTAACCCTGGAGATATCGACCTGGAGTCGAACTGTCCTGTTGAATACGGACGACGGGGATGACTGGTGGTACTCTGCTCGAAACGACGTGGCTGTTATCACCCTATGGACGAGGTCCTGTGTCTATAATATAATTATAATAATAAAATATTATTATTATGCATAATAATAATATTATTATAAATAATAATGATAACATTCATAATAATATTCATAATAACTATAATTAGTTTCCTTACTGCTCTTAAAAGAGCATCTAATATTAGACACACAGTGAATGTAAATCAGCCCACATACACACACGCACACACACACACATACACATCTCCCACACACAGACACACACACACGCACACAAAACATATACACACACGCGCACACACAGGTAGTAAAAATACTGAAATCCTACTGACACAGAGGAATGCGTGAATGAGGTCGGCTTTAATCTGCGGCACTGTCCTATCCTTTATCATCACAAAGTACTGATCGCTTCTGTTGTTTGCACCTACCAGCACTCCGAACCAGGACCTCTTTGTGAATCTATAATTGGTAGCGTTCCAATTATAATTATAATTTAATTGCAATTAGCGATTTTATTAATGATGATTGCGATGATGATGACGAAGAGGAAATGAGAGAGAGAAAGAGAGAGAGAGAGAGAGAGAGAGAGAGAGAGAGAGAGAAAAGAGAAGATAACGATAGCGATTTTATTATTGGTGATTGCGATGATGATGATGATGACGGAAAAACATCACAACAGAAAGATGATGGAGAGAAAGAGAGAGAATGGAGAAAGAAAGAGAGAGAGAGAGAGAAAAAAAAAACTTACTCAGTTGATGATGTTGACGGTGTGAGATCCTCTTGTGATGGAGCTAACGAAAATTAATTATTTTCATCGTCGCCATCATCACCACCATTTTTAACACCATCATCATCATACCACCTACACAATCAGCATCATCAGTCAACATCATCATCAACACAATCACCATCACCATTACGATCATCAATACAATCACTCCAATCATCATCATCATCGCCATCACCACACTCATCATCATCAATACAATCATGAGCAACAGCAACAGTAGCAGCAGTAGCAGCTAACCAATCATTTTCTTCCTATGAAACTTAGGAGAGCCAAGGAAGCTATTTTTCAACGCGTACAACCTACTCTTCCACTGTTGCTGCTGTACCGATGTTGATGACGACGACGATGATGATGATCCATGTGAAGTGGTAGTAGTAGTAGTAGTGGTGGCAGTATTAGTAGTAGTAGCAGCCCCGTTACTACCATCGTTACTGACGATACTGCTGTTACTATTGTTAGTACTACCGTTACTGGCAAGAAGGGGATTGGCATGTTTAGCGCCGCTGCCACTACTGCTTCTATTGCTGCTACCGAATGACTGCAACATCGGCACTTTCCCTCCAGCCTGATTTGATTTAGATCCGGATCTGACGGACCCCACCAGGGATGTGCCGAAGACGGAGTTGTAGCTGGATTGGCGCTGCGCTACGCGAGGACTGGTTGACGGAGAGGTGGCCGAAGAGATGGAGGAGGAGTGCTGGATGGACTGCAGGCTGTTTTTACGGCGCCTGTTGTGAAGAAGATGGAGAAGAAGATGAAAAAGAAGAAGAGGAAGATAAAGAAGATGAAAAAGAAGAAGAGGAAGATGAAGAACAAGAACAAGACGACAAAGATTAAGAAGAAGTTGAAGAAGAAGATGACGGTGAGAGAAACAATGATGAAGCTGATAAGCAAAAAAACACACCATAATCATCTTGCCACCACCATCATTGCCTAACTTTTCATCATCACAAATCCAACAATTCCAATACACAATCACCATCATGACTAACAGATGATGGACAGCTAGGGCTCTCCTGGGTGCCAGGGGCGAGCCCTCACTCAAACTGCCCAGGGACAACCTCGGTGCCCCCTTCGACGTGCACAACGGGTTGACATCTATTCTCTTCTGCGGCGGGTCGAAGCCTGGATGACCTTGAAATAAGATTAGATGGAAAGAAAGTGGAAGAAGATTGTGTGAACAGAAAACACTGAGCAAACATGAGAACGAGAGAGAGAGAGAGAGAGAGAGAAAGAGAGAGAGAGAGAGAGAGAGAGAGAACGAAAACGAGTGCAGGAAAAAAAATGAAAGATGAAGAAAATGTAAAAAAAATGTTGTAGATTGTAAACTCTAGAAAGAACGATCAATCAATCAATCAACCAATAAACCAACCGATCAATCAATCATATAATGAACAAACATACCAATCATTCAATAAAACCTACCAGTCAAACATTTCCAACCAACTTCTTAAGCATCAAATAAAATCCTTAAACAAGCAATCACCCAACCGGCAAAACAACCAACCAATCATCTCATTAGCCAATCAGACAACCAACCAACCAACCGGAAACGACAGCCTTATGTTTGACGTCATCATCGTCATCCTTTGTTGGCCTCCTCAACTTTCTATCCAACAGTAAAAAG